GGAAAAAGATCCTCGCCGGATCCCTTTCTTAGGAATCCCATGATCTCACCCGTTCATTGTATATTGTGCGGTCAGTTTTCGTTAGATACTATTTATATTTAATTTTAAATTTTAAATTTTGAAATGATTTCTGAACGCACGATATACGATGAACGGATAAGATCACGGGATCCCTAAGATCCCTAGGAAAAGAACTGGCAAGTATCCTTTCCCAGCTAGCTACTGCCCAAGGAATATTATTCTTCTTATTTTATGGATTAAAGATTCTATTAAAAAAAATATATATATACAACTGTTTTATAACATGATTTCCACTGTGTCCTACCATGTGTGATCCTATCATATATTATCACACATAATAATAGACCTGGTATTTTAGACCCAACATGTTAACCCAACCCCACCAATCTGTTAAAAGTGGATACTTAACAGGTCAGATCACACATACATAGACTGCCATTTAGGCTGCACAGGTACCCTGTCGTGCTTCCTTTACACACAAGGTAAAGCAATTTTTAGCACAAAAAGAAAAACATAGAGAAGTTGGAGAAAAGAACATGCTTCCAGTTTTTTATTTTTATTTTAATACAAGCGAGAATTAGAAGGAGGATTAGACATGTTTACTTACTTGGAATAGGAGAGGTCGTGAATCAAGTTTTAGGAAAAAAAAAAAGAATGGGAATGTGATCAACTAGTTCCACAGTTTATCTCATCCCTAATTTTTCAAGGAACTCACACTTTTTACGTTTCCATACGTGCTAAACAAGAAAAGTTTCAATACCGATGTTTTAATTAACGAAAATCAGTAAAGAATCACAATAGTTCGAACTCTTATTCTTGGTAAGTAAACAGTTAACTTACAATTTACCTTGCAATATTTCAACTTTTGTAAACTTAATTGTAAATTTGAAATTTATTTTAATTTTAATATATATGCTAGAGAATGTGTCTGCTAGAGGGAAAGATATCAATGGAAGCAGATGAAAAAAGAAAGGAAATAATCTATCTTGTTTCCTCCTCCTCAATGTCCTCGTTGATACTGGAATGCAAACGAGTAAGTTTACATACTCCTACTTAAACAAGGAGTCAGGAGTCCATCTTACGAGTATAAATACCTCCTTCATGAACAATACAAGGCACGCAATACTTTGAGCTCTACGTAGAATTCAATTGTACGAGTTTACTTTGACTATCGGAGGGTTTTTAGCCTGTACCACATCATTGTCTTTTCACCTTTAAGGATTTCGCAATTAGTTTGTCGATTACAATCGTAATTCCAAGGAGTGGAAATTTTTGCTGGAACAATGGCGTCGAAATCGAATTACAACATTCCAGGGGAAATTCCTGAAATTGTGTCCTTGTATACATTTGACAATGGACCTAAGAGAAGAAGCAGTGAAAAAGCAAAGAGTAGTAAAACAGAAAACAACAAGGAAACGGGCTCCTCATCAGCCAATGAAAAGAAAAGCAGCTCTAATGAACGACATGCCACTACTACAAAGTGAATGTCCGAATCTTTCAGCAAGGAAAAAACGACATCAAAAGCCTGAGTTTAATTTTAGATACAATAAAATTGTAGGACCGATTTTAATCTTAATGCATTGACATGTTGAAGTATTATAAAATTTAACATATTTTTGCTTTTGTTTCTTTTTATTTGCAAATTCTCTTTGACAAGTGTTTCAACTAGTGAATGTTTAGTTTGAATATTTTAGAATATATATTTAGTTTAATTTAATAAACATTTTACAATTGTTGTGGAATCAGTTAATATTTATGTTCAAAATGGGTCTTACATAAAGTAGAGCTCTCTCTCTGTCTCTCTCTCTCTCTCTCTCTCTCTCTCTCTTAAATAGGTATTGATTAGTTCAGATGTTGCGGCATGTACCATGCATAAATCGACCAAACCAAACCACAACAAATCAAACCATGCAAATTCTTTGGTCTGATTTTTGTTTTTTATGTTAAACCGGATGAAATCGATCCATGCCCATCCATATGTTCACCAAGTGAAACCGTGAAAGGACCAAACCGTCATTCTCTCACCTTTTTGTACAACCAAAAACTAATCTGCATATTGTCCTTCGAATGTGTTTACTTTTATCAAAGAGACCATGCGTGACACACACAGGGTCCTTGTTGCTGCTGTAAAGTATCCCCTTCATTGCTTCTGTTCTTCTCTTCATTCTCATTACCCTTCTTTGACTCACTCTTCTTCCAGTTTTACCCCCAATTTTCTGGGAAAACAAATTCTATACTCTCGCCATTTATTGTTTAAGTCAATTACTAGCAGTTTTAGCCCACGTGTTGCCATGGGAATGGCAAATGAATTTTAAGTACAATTAGTGTTGGGATAAGGGACTAAATGTGTTGAAGCATTGTGCGTAGATGTAAAATAAGTATTTGCATAATATATAGTAGTTGTTGACAAAGCTATTTACATATAAAGAGTTCAAACATTCAACAACTAAATCTCTTCTTAATGTTTAGCTTAGACGAAGTAAACACATCCTCTACAAATACAAAGAAAACAAAAACCACAGAAAATGATCAATTGGGAGCTACATTAAAAGACACAGAAAAGAGGAACAGGATTAGAGATTCATGGTTCTTACCCACATTTGAGTCAGTTTCTATCCCATGCAAAAAAAAAAAGGACACAACTACTTTAATTAAAAAAATGTAATAAACAGCAACCAGAAGGCTCTATGAATTCTTGCCAATTAAAGATTATTACCTGGCCTTGGCGAAACAAAGCCTTCACATTAGCTTCCCAATCACGCAATGCAAAGTCTGTGTCCAACAACGCTCCTTCTAGGTCTCCTAATTTCAACCTGCAGGCCTGAACAGAAAACTCACCTATCAATCAAGTGGATAAAGGGAAATGTATTTCTTTTTAGTTGATGACATTAAAATCAACGTCCCACAAAAGAATACAGAATACTCATGAACATATTCAAGTTAGCCTTCAGAGAAGTATTAAAGCGATGCCTGATTACTATATTCATAGTTGTCTTTTTGGTTTCACTCATTTCAAGGATTCTTCATAGCAACTCAGAACCAACAGTAATTTTCATTTTGTCTAACAGGCTTAATTTAAGTATGATTAAGTTACTATCATACAATTTCGATGTCAATCACTGCCACTTATAAATGTACACTTTCTGCAACTGAAATTGGTAAACGGAATTGGTTTACTTATCCAGACAATTACACTGCTTAACTGAAATTGGTTTACTTATCCAGACAGTACGTTTGCTTTCATTTCAAGAGGGTTTCCAAGAGAATTCATTTAACATCCAGTGCTTTCAAATTTGATAAATGAAAATTCTTACTGAGCTTGTCTTCTGCAAAGAGGAGGTCGTCTCTGTTTAATCACAAAGATAATGTCATAAGATGATCAAAGAAAGCAAGGGACACTCTGTAGTGCAAAGCAACTGGTTTACCATAGTTGTGATCTATTTCTTCCAGCTCGCAGCACATATCCACATACCACAAAACCTTGCGATACTTTCTGAGGGCCATCTTGTAGTCTTGCTTCTGTATAAAGATTAAAAAACATACTATTGGCACTCGTGAATGAAATGTATGACATAATTACCATAGTTGTGATATTAAATGAAATAACTCATTACCTAGAACTGTTCATTTCCAATGGCCTTAATAGCGTCCACAGTCGTGACCTCACCATCTTTGAAGAAGTTACACACCCCATCATCTGCTCCCTCAAGAAGCTGCCCACAATCCACAATAACTTCTTGGATAGGCAAGTCTCCGCCCTTCGTGTTCACATTCTCAACTGAGCGAACCACACCCATGCCCTTGATCACCTTCCCAAACGCAATTCCCATCCAGATGAGAAGTCCAAGTGGTGGTAATGAAAAACTGAGAGCCATTGGTGTCAAGGCCTTTATTAGCCATAGACAACATTCCTTTTCTCTCATGCTTTATGTCAAAGTTTTCATCTTCAAACTTCAACCCGTAAATTGACTCTCCCCCACTGCCATTTCCAGCCGAAATGTCTCCACCTTGTATCATAAAGCCTTTGATAACGCGGTGGAAACAAACACACTGCAACCAAATGCAATGCAATTCTTATTGCAACTCCACCTCATTAACAAAATTACACATTCTTGCAAATGGACAAAGAAATTAACAAAAACCGGTCAATGTAACAATTAAAAAAACAAAAACCCACCAACGTAACAAAAAAAAAAACCAAAAACCCACCAGTGAAACAATGAGAAAACAAAGACCCAGAAACAAAAATTGAATCTTTGGAGAGAGAGAGAGACCTTGTAGTGCAGAGGAGCATTGCAAAAAATAAAAATAAAAATAGATACAAACCTGGTTAGAAAGCTAGAATAACCATCTTTCTGTTATTTAATTTTTAAACCATTGAGCCATAGCTGATGCATGTGTAAAAGTACGAGTAATTTACTCAATTTTAAGGAAAAATGTCTACAAAAATATCTAATTTCAAAAAAAAAAAAAAAAAAAAAAAAAAAGGAAACGCAGACCAAAATAATTAAAGTTGGATAAACTCATTCATACCTCAATTTAATTTGCAGGTTAATTTTCTTGTTGAAAAACCTTGACCTGCAAAAAGCAATGAATGTAAGAATGATAAAGCCACAAATCTCAGTTACAATTACAATAAGACAATAAAGTAAAAATAAAAGAGCATACCGTGTTCACCCCTCGACGAAACAATCAGAGAGTGAGCAAGCACACTTCCTATATTCATGAAACCTCGTACAAAGTTCCAGTTTTCAATCTAAGATATTCCAGCGGAGTGGTTGGCGGTGGTGGCCGTAGATCCATCTCTGCCACTGGTATTGGCAGGTGATGAGGAACAAAGTCATCAGAAACTCCCAAATTTATCCATTTCTTAATTGAAATGCAAAATTTAAGCAATGTAGAGAAAACCCAGATCCCACCCCAAACCAACGCAAAAATGAAGGAGGAAAAAAAAGGGATATTCAAGGAATCCAACATACCGTAACCGGAGCGAGGACGCTTTCCGACGGCTATATTCATCGCCGACGGCGGCGGTTGCTAGCCGTCATTATACCTCCAGTACGCATCCGCCATGTTTGAGGCTTGTGACCGTCACTACTTGCTTGGTTTGTGGGCTCCATGGCGAGAGACATGGGAGCGCGCCGAGGAGAGGAAGATTATGGTTTCAGTAGAGGAGAAAGAGGAACTCAGAGGGTGGAGAGCGGAAACAGGAGTTAGTAGGGTTACCATCTGCTTTCCTTTCCACGCACTTTTCATCTTCCTCGACTTTCCGCACAGCCGTCGTCCCCATCGAATCCAACCAAACTTACGGACAAAATTACCCTCCTAACTTTTAAGAATTACCTTTCCAACCGAGCCCAAATCTGATCGTTTTTATTGTAAATAGTCGAGTGGCAAAGGTTGACTGCAGCTCTCCTCAATTTTAGAACGGAGAAAGATGTAGAGTTTGTTGTGGCTCAAGCAAAAAGCGTTATTCTGTAATCAAACCAAGTATTAAAAAGGAAAAATATTGGTTTGTTTAGTGTTACATAAATGCAATTTGTGCTGCAAAAGCAATTATTTGTGTGATCTACGAATCCTCCATTTCGATATCAAACCCCACAATATTTTGCTAGACCAAAACTTCACACCAAAAATCTCTGATTTTGGTCTGGCCAAGTTATGTTCCAAGGATCAAAGCATAGTGTCAATGACTACAGCGAGGGGGACCATGCGCTACATTGCACCCGAAGTGTTTTCTAGGAATTTTGAAAATGTGTCTTACAAGGCATATGTTTATAGTTGTGGAATTCTGCTGCTTGAGATGATAGGAGGAAAGAAGAATATTGGTTCAACCACAGAGGACACGACCAATGAAATTCCTGTCCAGAATGGATTTATAACGTTCTAGAGGAAGGAGATGACCTATGAATCCATATCGGGGAAGAAGGGGATGGTAAGATTCCAAAGCAACTTGCAATTGTAGGGCTCTGGTACCCGGTGGATCATCCTTCCATGAAAACGGTTGTTCAGATGCTAGGAGGAGGAGAAAACTTGAGGATGCCTCCTAATCCTTTTGTTTATGCAGGTCTTACACAAACATCACAGGTAGGCATCCCCAAAAGGCGCATCCTAGAGTTAGAAGCAATTGCTGAATTAGAGTAAACATGTAGATGTATACCACCAACCGATAGTTCATAGATGAATTCAAGCACAAACATTTGTTAGTGTATAAACCCTTAAGCTGATTACATTAGTAGTAATGTCTTGTATTTAGTTGTGTAATCACTTGAGTTATAAATTACCAAGTGTAGTGACATGTATTGTAATTGTTGATGTCTAGTGACATGTATTTGAATCCTAGAATCTAGCTAGATGTGTGGCTGAGATCTCATTGGTGTAATGGTGAGAATCCAGGTGCATAACTAAGTGTTATGCAGTGCACGATTTCGTGTGCAAGAGAGAGAAATAGAAGTATATCCCTCTGTGTATTTTGCAGAGAGAACTATCCATCATTCTCTCAAATTCTTCGGTGACTGTTCTTCATTCTTTCAGTTTTTTGTACACACACACATCCAAACTTTAACAACATTTACAGCCGACAATTCTTTACTAATTAAATCACTTTAAAGTGAGAATTTAATTATCATAACATTATTGCACTTTCTTAACAATTTGATATTCACCTAGTTGATGATGAACATGTTAGCTCGATGTTAGAACACATTGGGTTCGATTTATTTTCTTTAATATCACCTACAGTCACAGACGCCTCTTGTGGGCACAGAGAAGGCCTGAGAAGCAATTGCAGACATTCAACATCTCTTCCAAGCATTTCGATGACTTTGTACATCGAAGGGTGATCACTTGGTTTCGTTTGAATACACCATAATGTGGTTATAATTAACCAACTTTCTCTTCCTCCTCTGTAACTCATTTTCAGACACCAATCGTTAGATTTCACTTCATATTTATACGACTTTAGGCCTTAACAACTATACATTGCACTGCCATTGTTGAAAAGGTCTACTGGTTTTATCTATTTTACTGTAACATGTTTTGTGAGGTTAAATTCTGTAACACTATATTTTTTACCTGGAAACTATATATATGTGTCACTTATCTTGCTGTATAGTATTTCATCCCCACCCAAGTTTTTCTCTTCGCATTTAGTATGGTATACCAAAACTTGCCTAACAAAGCCAATTAATTCATAAGCAAAACTAATTATTCGGCTGAACTTTACTTCGAATGCTAGTCAGATGAAACAATATGAATCGTAAACTAAATACAATAGTTTTGGATGTAGTTGGACATGCGTGGGTGCTTGGTGAATCAAGAAACTTCATGGATCTGGGATACCCCACGGTCAACACGCATACAATATAAGTTAGGAATGAAGACTGTCGTATCAGTTGGCTATACCAAAAGAGTTTTTGGCATCTGGAGGATTATTCTTACATAGAAAATTCCAAAGATGAGAAAGTTGAACTAATCAAATTTTAACAAGTTTGAAAAATCAACTATTTATATATAAGAGGATCCTGATTGATGTGTTACGTTGATTTGAAGAACGGTCTTGAAGATATGGAGTGAGACATTCATTTAAAATCAACTATTTATATATAAGAAGATCTTGATTAATGTGTTACTGATTTGAAGAACGGTCTTGAAGTTATGGAGTGAGACATTCATTTAAAATTAGCAAAAGAATGTAACAATTAGAAAAAATGGTTGTCTAAATGGTGGGGTACTTTTACTTTTTAAGTCTTTAAGGAACAAGAGTAGCAAGTTCCAAGTTGGAATAATGCAATTTTCACACAATTAGGACAAAGAAAGAAGTCTTACCTTGTAAGCGATAGAGATTCTTGCGTATGACTTACGACATCCCACACTTTTTCTGCGAGAGTGGGCCTTGGTGATACAAAATTACAAGGGGGATTTGTGTGTGTAGCCGATCTAGAGGTCATACACCAGATTAGGATTTCCTCTGTTATGTAATTCCATGAGTCCCATAAACTCATAATGGTTTGAACCAGTTCAACGACACTTCAACGTCTGACTAATGTTGTAAGAGGTTTGCAACAGCCAAATATCACCTTAGTCTGAGATAAAACACAAATGAAAGAAATTTTTCATATTTTATTTTACTTTTTTACTGGTATGACGAAATGTATGTCAAAACAAATCAAACTATTCTATTTCTGTAAAAATACCCAAATATGAATGAAATCAATTGCAATCGAAGACTCATAACCAAAGCATTGCTTTTATACTAAAAGGTATGTGTCGATTGAACTGACTATTTGGCTACATATGATAATTTTTTTTATAAAAACTGATATTTTTAAAATTATGGGTCAATTTTTTGTCATATTTGATAAATACTTGCGTACATGTGCCATGAGTGTCTTTCTCATATGTTGGGAGTTACCGGATATGCTGGAATCAATTAGGAAACGTTTAATTAGGAAGATATAGAGGTCCCACAATTAATTCTGAAGTATTGAGCAGCTCCATGTGCAGGAGGTGGAATTTGCCCATGTGTCCCATCATTGCAACGGAGTAGCCTTTACATCCTGAACGACATCATAAGGGTACTCGTTGAAAATATGTATTTTGAGACGAGGACTCTCCAAATATCATTCAGGATGTTTTCCTACAAGATCTTGAGTATATTCCTTCTAAGTTCCTATTATCATTTCCACTTAATAAAAAAATAAAAACTTCTTAAATGAACCGATGAAGGCACTCAACAGGAGAAAATTGAAGCAATAATCCCCAAACTCAAAACTTGTGAGTATTGATTTCTAAACTTACTATAATGTGGAACAATAATCATTTTAACAGTCCCTCTAAACCCTTTATTTTGAATGGAAGTTCTAACATAGTTAGCAAAAAGAATCATTGCTTCACATCACCACACGGATTGTTAGTTTAGGAACTAAAGCTTTGATTAAGCTAAAGTTCAAGAACCACTGCTTCAGTTACCTCACTAAACAAAATCATCCCAAAAATTCAAAACTTTATGCAAAAACCACAATAAAAAATTGATTAGGAGTTCAATACCAAGACAAATAATTCATCTATAAAATTTAAGGTAAGTGATTTTCACACAATTTTTCTTCCGTTGCACAACTATGTTTATTTCTAGCCATAGAAATAAGTCCACCAAGGCCACAAATCCGAGCTTTTAAAATTTGATGATAGGAGCATATTCATGCGACTTAAATGGCTTGTTCTCGTGCATTTACGTTATGTTTCTCTAGTTATTTTAGTCCTTTATGCTTCTTTTGTGTGTTTTCAGGTTCTAAGGGCAAGGTATGCAAAAGGATGCCTTTTGGAGCATTTTGGAGCAAATTAGAGATTGGAATGGATATCATATGCTTGGAGCCAAGAGGATGGACGAAATTAAAGGCTTGAAGTAGGAAAGTTAAATCCTAAAAGACCTCATGTTTAAGCATCATTGAAAACTCCTACGCATTTTAGAACACAAAAACAACATTCCTTGCAACCTTAGGACATTGTCGTGTGTTTCCTTGTGTCTCCGTTCCTTGCCATGCAAGGAAGGGTTTTGTTCCCTATTTTTAAACACTTAAAGCATTCACTTATCATATCATTCACTTAACATATCATTCAATTATCATATCATACATTTATCACTTATCACTTCCATTCACTTATCACTCACCACATATCATTCATTTATCACCACATATCATTCATTTATCACTTATCAAACCATTCACTTATCATAACATACACTTATCACTTATCACTTATCACTTCCATTCACTTATCACTCACCACATATCATTCATTTATCACTTAACATATCATTCACCATTCACTTATCATAACCATACAAAGTTCACTTATCATACTCATAATTATCTACACATTTCAACCATTTAAACATATGCATTTCAACTCACATGCACACCCACCTCTTTCCAACATCTCACATGCATTTCCACCTTCCTACTTCATCATTTCACCACATTCTCCCTCTTTAATTCCACATGCATTCACTTCATCATTCCACCATTCATTCTTTATTCCACAAACAAGTCACATGCATTTCCACCTTCCTACTTCATCATTTCACCACATTCTCCCTCTTTAACTCATTTCATTATTCATTCACTTTGCATTCATCACTTCCACCCCACATGCACCCTTTATTCTTCATCATTGCAACCATGGCACATTTACACCAACAAAACAACTCCCATGCCATGGCCTACTCATATTCCCATTTCCTTTCCA